CCAAGGATCCATTCAATATGCCTATCGATGAAGGCGCAGTGAGTTAAAAGTACTTTTCATCGGATAAAAATCTATTTTGGGATTTTCAGCTGCCTGAGTCACCTCCTTATTTGTTATTCACTCCAAAAGCAGAGATTGAGGAACCTCGCTCATACATCAATGAGCCCACAAGATTATCTGCCACGGCAGGAGAAATCCCGCAATTATCGCCGACTGCACGTATTTTTACTGAATTAGAGAAACCATTATCGTCAAAAAGAATACCCATAAACTCTGGAAGGAGCGCGTATGAAACACCATACCCTGCCCCACCATCGAGAGCTCCCACGAAAGATGCTCGTATCGAAATTGTCGTCCCCATGACTACTTCATTCACCTATGCTGAGGCTGGAAAAGAGTTTCAAACTGCAATCAGGCCCACAACGGTAGAGTCGTCCATCGACCAGAAGACGCCATCTCAGCCGGGATATGTACCTCCAAACGTAGAGCCTCGGGGTCCAATCCCTCCTGCCAATCACGCTGATGTCGCGGAACAAGCAATATCACCTTATGCCGCTGAAGGTAAAATCTTTCACGGTTTTTTTTGACTGCTAGAAAATATTGGGTTGTCCGAAAAGTCTTAGGATAAGTTTGTAGTTAGTTTTATGCAGTAATGATTGACTGACTCCTCATATTTGGACTAGTTTAGTGCTGCTACCGTACTCTATTAATAGGGCGTATCACTTAAGTTCTGCGAGTGATAGCGTAGAAGGAACGACCCAAAATCCCACTGGATTGACCAGTTTTGAGGTTATTTTCCTTTTACGGGCAAGAACCCAATAAATTAGCTAACATCCAACGGCTACGGTCGAGATAAGACCACGTTCCATCTGCAATTTTTCAACAATGCGGTCAGTCTTGCTTAACCCCAAGCACCTATTGCTGTTGTTGGGCGAGTTTGAAAGCACTGCTGAAAGCACTTAAACGACACTTCAAACTGGACCAATCCCTTAGTGTGAGCTAAAAAAAACTTGAGCTCCCGTACCTCTTCGTTAAAGCGGCGTCTTACAATGGATAGTACTCACGATCTCTGTTGAT